GGGTTTTAGCCATGGATAAATAGTCTTAGTACTTGATGTCCTAGTCCTAGTTCTGATATATAATATGTATGTATTTATGGCACTATCATATGTCAATTTACTTAAGTATTAATAAAGTCTGGGGCAGGAGCTACACCCCAAATATTAAAAAAAAAAAAAATGATTCAATCGCAACATCAACAGATAATACAAAACTTGAAGAAAATTACACTATTCTGCAAGTTTAGATGCAATTCTTGGATCTATATTGCCATTACATGAAACTTTAATAACTTCTTATAATAAGATTGATCCTATTATAAAAAAAATCCAAGCTAATAATTCAATAGCAAAATATGTTTGTATATATATTTTGCAAATATTAATTCCTAAAGTGCCACTATTTGTACTTGGAATTATTTCAGATAATAGTGAAAATGTATCTGATATATATGAAATTCATAATCAAGTTTTAGAACTTGCTATATATTTTAAAATTCATATATTATCAATTGGAGCTGATGGCACATCAATAGAAATTAAAGCATAAAAGCATATTATGCAAATTAATAGTGAAACAAAATTTGAATTTAATGATAAATTATATAATATGTAATTAATTTATTTTTCATAATAAATTTTTTAATTTTAGTATTTATTATTGATTATTAATTATTTTTCTATTTAGATATCAAATTATATTGCCCTGTAATTCCAAATATTAGCCCTATTGTTTGTGTTTTAAATCCAAAGTATGCAAAAAAAATGGTTAAAATAGTATTTTTAGTGGTGCTAGAATGTTAACCTTCAGAAATAGTTTTTTTAGTTTTGGTCATATATTAGAAATATCCAAATTAACAAACTCTGTTTTGTATCGTACTGATGTTTTAAATGTGGATAAACAAGATAATAGTGCAGTATATCAACTTTTTTCTCATGAATTTTTTTATGAAGTATCTCAAACCTTAAATTTTGATTCTAAAAACAAAGGATTATTAATTTACTTATTTATTATTGGTAGGTTATCTAATTTACTATTTTAGTTTATAATAAAAATTAACTTATTAATTTATTTATTAAAAGGAGAATTAATTGACTTATATCTAAATCAAAATATTTTTAATCATGAAAGAATCAAAATGATTATGATTGGTAGTTTTTTTCTAAAAATATAGAAACAATTTATTCAAAATACAACAAATCAATATAAAGAAATTTTTGCAAATAATCATAGCTTTTTAGCTTATCAAACTTATGAAATATTATCTTTTCTTGTTAATTTAATAGTAATATATAAACTTTAATATCTATAATCAATTTAATAAATTAACTAATAATAATTTTTATTATTATAGATTTTACTTATTATAGCATATTAAGAATATTATAATTCAGTTCCATTCTTACCCTGGATGCATGGTAGTGAAGCATGTGAACATTTTTTTGGAATGGCATGACAATATTTGCCAAATTTTACATATACAAATTTATTATATTTAATTCCAAAAATTTGCCATATTACAAATGCTTACTATAATTCTACAATTATTAATCCAAATTCTGAATATAAAACTTCTTAAGTTGGTTAGTTTATTTAATAATTTTTTGTATTTTATTATAATTAACTTTTAATTTTAATTTAAAATTTTAATAGATTATATTTGTGATTATTTTGAAGGAAATATTAATGATTTAAATTTTTGTTTAAAAATATGGCCTACAGATGATGAAATTAGAGTTCTTATTAATGATGCATATAAAGAAGCAAATGCTTTAGCAAAGTGTGTTTCTATGATGGTTACATTAAATTCCGAATTATCATCATCATCTCTTGCTAATTCTTTAATAGATAATGAGATAATACTACTAACTGAAGAAAATTCAACAACTGAGTTTCAAGATAAAGAAAAAATTTTAACAGAAATTGCTAAAATGATAGGAAATATTGCAAGCTTAGATTTACAAAATGATATAGATGAGGATTTGATAGATGCTCATTAACAGATAAAAAATTTATCTAATAATATATATTTACAACAAATTTATGATGATAATTTTAATATATTAGATAATAATGAAAATATAATTTTTAATACTTTATATCACTATCAAAAATATTATAAGGCTTATACTTCAAAAAGAATGATTCAATCTTAGTTTCAAAAAACTAGAGATTATAATTTATTAGAAATTAATCCATCTATTGCTAGCAAAATAGTTGCACAAATTACTAATAATAATAACAATTCAAGATTGTCTAAAGCACGATTAAAACGATGAGAATTAGAAAAAGATTTAAAAATGTTAATAAAATATTAAAAGATCTACAAGAATTACAGTTACCAAATTATAGTAAGTATTAATTATTTGATTTTATTAATTTTTTTAATAATTAATTAAATATTTTATAGTTTTAGATCAGATTTCATTAATTTGTGTAGTGAATATTTCTTCAATTTACCTATATCAGCAAATTATATAAACGTAATCTTACGTAAGATATTATGGCCCGTAATATTGCGCAAGAATTACGGTCTGGACA